AGCGATGCTGCAGCTTTCTGCCTCCACGCTTCCTGGACCTGTGCCACTACTAGCCGGATCGCCAGCTCTGTTGACCGGTTTGCCCTGTTGCCCATCTGCTCGTCTGGAAGTAAGCCGTTGGTTTCTGCAGCTTGTGCGACCTTTTCAGCTACTACTGACTCTATTACCTTCCCTAAGGTCGGTAGCAGAGCGATGGGCCTGTAGCCTCCAGTCGTTTTGTATACTGACGGGGCCTTTCCTGGCTTTGGCAGCACCACAGTCTTTGCTCTCTTGCACCAGTTTGGAAACCATCCTAGTTCAAGACATCTTGTGGCCAGGATGGCAAGCACCTTGGCTAGCGGTTTCCCACAGGCCTTCAGAAGGCCCATGGGGAGCAAGTCCTCACCTGGTGCCTTCCAGGGCTGAGAACAATGTATTATCGAGGTGGACGTGCTGTGGCTTGGTGGCTCGGTCTTAGATGCCCGAACTCGGTCCTGCTGTTGAATCCTTTGATGCACACCAAGGACGACCATCGGCCCTCGAGCGGACTTCTATTAGGAGGTTGGACATGAATCTCGTCAATAATTGCCAGCTTCAGTATCTAGGTACCTTGCTCTCCCGAATCGCCCTCGTCCACGTCCTCGTCCTCGTCCCCAAACCCCGACGTCCCGCGCCTTCTCCTTCCCGATGACAATATTCTGCTCACGCCACGCCACGCGCTTGGCCACCGACTGAGGTAGATACACCAGCCCCCGCGGGGCGGCCTTGAACCCATACTCCCCTATCATTGCAGTGAGGGAGATGGGCTCCCGCAGCTCGTAAACCGAAACGATCTTGTAAGCGAAATCGTACCCGTCCCAGTCTTTGTGTCTGTTGTTGAACTCTGCGTTTCCGGAACCGTTGTCTTCGAGAGGAGTGTCGCCTGGGTTTCGCGTCCTCGCCGGGAGAATCTCGCAGATGTGGGTGAGGGCCGAGTGCGGCGCGGTGCGGTAGAACCAGATGCGCTTGACGCTCGGCTTGAGACAGTACTTGCGGAACTCGTAGTTCTCTGTCCCGTTGACGATCTGGCTCATGTAAGGATTCTGAATCGCCAAAATCACATCGCTCGTCAGGTCGTTGGTGTGAGGCATGTTAGAGGTCGACCGAAAGAGGTGGTCAGAAGCTGCGGGCATGACGAGACACGCGACGAGTCCGAGTTCATTGATGAGGTTTTCGGGGGCTGTCCGGCGAGCAACCAGCATGCAACGGCCCCGCAAATACAGTCACCAACAACAGTGGGCGTTTGGAACTTGGCTGCAGCTTGGGTGGGGGGTTAAGGCTGCGCACGCTCTTGAAGCCACATCAACTTTTATGTCACACAAATATGCATGGCAGTCCGGAAGTGAATTGTGTCACACTGCCGCAGACCGGACTCCCCGGCTTCCGTTTTGACTCGCCGGTTCTACTTTATGGAAAGGGAAAACTGAAGACTTGACGTCAACACTCCTCGAAGATTGGATTGTTCATACCACAGAATGCCTGTCTAGGTAGGCACCTTATAAGGTATCTTTGAAACGAGCCAGCATGACAGCTAGGTGTCATCCCTCAACGTAAGCCAACACTCGATTATCTCTTGCTCGTTGAATGGAAAGGGAAAAGGGAATAACGTTAAAGCTCGCAAACATCGTTCAACAAAGCGCTAATGAAACTCAGGCAACTCTGTCACGCTCAATACCGTACCCTAAGTAAGATACCTGACTTGCTCATCACTCTCAAAAACAACCTTATTGCGTTCTACGCTTTTGAGTGTCCTCTGAGCTCTGCTTTCCTCGGCTTTGTAGAGCAGCAAAGCTGCAGTGTATATGTCAGCTCGGTCTACTTCCCGCTCCCTACCCCTCAAATGAGACCTCCATCATCTTCCTTTTGAATGCTAAGTCCCGTGTCATTTGCAATGCCTCCTTGTTTCAGTTCTGATTTCGATGATCCGGTGAATGCTCAATCATTGACCGGGCAACCTGAGATGAGCATGCTTCCAGACACAGAATGACAACGAACCACCTCGTGTGAGCTTCAGTGGCTTTGCATAGTGTCCATGTGCCTGTCACCATAACTCGCTTGCTTGTGTGCCTCCAGTCATGAGATCGCTGGTATTCTTTCCCATGGATATCATCCCCGCTTAACTGCTGCCCACGTATCCTAGACCGAGAACAACACAGTTCCCCGAACATGTGCATGGCAAGATCGTGAACACACAACCAGCGTGACAAGTCACCTACCTTAATCAAGAATACCGTACTTACCAACATCTTTACCTGATGCCACGTCATTCACTCCTCAATATCATTTGTAAATCGGGTGCTTCGAGGGACCTTGGGTATAAGAAGAATAATTTACGCTTCCTCTAGGTAGGTAGCCTCGCAGCAATAATCATCATCGTCAACTAAACCATCAAGTTCACTCACAAATATTATTATTATTCCTACACCGCTGCGCCTAAAGCGTAAGGCATGCCGGTCCGCCTGATAATCGTTGTACAGGAAAACCGTATTGGGTGCCCAACCGGTTGAAAAAACCTGTACCGCACTCTCTAGGTCGGCGCTTAGGAATTCCACATACTACGGGTGAAAGGAGGCAACCCCGGGCTACACTCCCTGCATTCCCACATCAAGGTCGCCAGCCGGAGCCAGCGGCCCAGTGGCCGTAGCTCCCGGGGCCGTAACCTCGGTAGCTGCGGCCTGCACCGTTCTATCCCT